GACTGGATGGCCCTTGGGGTCTCTTCCAACTCTATGATTCTATGAAAGTGATAATATTGAATTCATCAAGGATCTCAGAACCCTGAATAGACTAGTCCTAGCTGGCTTGTTAACAAAAGGATCCCTTGCAGGTCTCTCATTCATTGTTGTTGTTAGCAGCCTTCAAGTCGATCTTGACTCAAGATGACTCTGTGAAGGAGACATCTCCAAACCCCATATCCTCTACCTCTCTGTTCAGATCCTGTAGGCTCAGGCCCATGGTCTCTTTGACTGAGTCTATCAATAGGGCATGTGGTCTTCCTCCCTTTCTACTGCTCTCTACCTTTCCCAGCATTATTGTATTTTCTAATGATTCATGCCTTCTCATGATGTGGCTAATGATTCATGCCTTCTCATGATGTGGCTGATGTATGACAGCTTCAATTTAGTCATCTTGGCTTCCAGGGAGTGTTCAGGTTTGATCGGTTCAAGGACCCTGTTTGTTTTTTTGGCTGTCCATGGTATCCTCAGCATTCTCCTCCAGCACCTCATCTCAAATGAATTAATTTTCTTCCTATCTGCTTTCTTCAGTGTCCAATTCTCACATCCGTACATGTTAACAGATTATACAATGGCTTGAATGATTCTGATTTTAGTGTTCAGCTGTATATCTTAACACTTTAAGATTTTGTCTAGTTCTTTCATAGCTGCTCTTCCCATTCCTAATCTTCTTCTGATTTCTTGGTTGCAGGCTCCATTCTGATCAATGTTTGATCCAAGGTATAGGAAATCTTTAACTATTTTGATTTCTTGTTCATAGGTTCACCATAAGTTGATGCTAACTTTACAGCAATTAGCAATAACAAAAATTAGAATGAAAACTAGCACTTTTCATGGCTTATTAAATTGTAGGTATAGAATAAGGGTGTTAGGACTGTTTGTACCAGTCCCTACAAAAGATATTTGGTCCCCTAACCATTACTCCAATACACCACTAAAGGGTACTGAGTGCATCTTGCCACTACTAGAGAACTGTCAAAAAATCTGAGAAAGACCTCTCCCAAAATCACAGCTGCTTCTTCAGACCAATGGAAGATCTTTCATTTAGAGATCCTCTTACACTTCTCCCACTGACTTCTTCGCATGCCAAATGCATATATTGTCACATGCTGCAGCAGGAAAAGAGATAAAAATGATTTGTAAAGGCCTCTGGGCATAACAAGTGGAGGCACAGAGACTTTCCCTGCAGGGCACTCTCTAATGTAAAAACTGAAAGATATTCAGGCTTGAAATAAATCTGGCTAGGAGACCCATTTGGAAGGTACTTGCATATATCAGGTATTCCTGGTGTATAGCGGGGATGGGCAACCAGTAACTTTCAGTCTGATAATACATGACCCTTTGCCTAATTTCAAAAGACTTTTGCAGGTTGTCAGTTCAGACCTTTGAAGGGTGATTTATCTCTTCTCCAGTCCCCATTACTTGCTAAGTGTGTGAAAGGGGGAGAAAAGGTTTATCCCCACCTATTAATGGCAGCCTCATGCACTTCATTTGTCTTGATTTGGCAGGGACACTCCCAATTTAGCCTTGGCCATCCCACTGTTTCATCTGCCTTTAAAATATCCCAGTTTCTCTCTCCTCCTGCCACTTTCCCCCTCTGTCCACAGCTTATTTGAATCGCTGCAAACTGAGTCCAAAGTGCCAAAGCAGTTTGCACTCAATGCAGGTAAGAGGAGAGGAGGTGGCTGAAACTTGCCCTTTCCAGGAGACAAAAGCAAACTGCTGCAGCCTCTCTTTGCTTATGTGTTCTTCCTCATCAATAACTTTTGCCATCTTGGCCACACTTTGGTATTGCTTGGCCACACATGTCTTGGTTTTCATCGGTGAAACGTTGGAGGTTATGTCCTCCTCTGCACATAACAGATTACCCTAAAGGGAATGCATCCCTCAGCAGAAAAAAAGTTGTTGACCCTTGGTGAGATAATGTGAAGTGGTTTGAGCATTAGACTATGACTCAAATGACCCTGGAGACCAGGGTTCGAATCCCAGCTTGGCCATGGAAACCCACAAGGTGACTGTGGGCAAGTCACACACTCTCAGCCTCCAAAAACCCTGGGATAGGTTCGCCTTAAGGCTGCCATAAGTAGGAAATGACTTGAAGGCACACAACAACAATTCTTGGTGTACAGTTTTAGCACATTTGAAGTCTGTGGTCTTGATTGTTCACGGAGGAGCAATCCCCATTGGCTAACATGGCATGTGTGCATGCGCAAAGCCACATGCAGGAGTATGCAGACATTCAAGTCAATGGGGCTTGAATATCCATGATTTTTCATTTTCAGGGGGTGGGGTCCGGAACAGATCCCCGCAAAAAAGGAGGGGTGACTGTACTGGTTATACGAAGAGTGGGAAAGTACTGTTTTGGCCTCCAACTTCCATAATCTTCCAGACAGCATGGCCACCTTTTCCAAGCTATGGATATGTGACTCTTTAGAGAGCGATTCTAACTGCGGGATGGGGAAAAGACTCCCAGGAGAAATGAAATCACAAATGATGTATATAAAATGCATGAGCATTTTATTTAATTAGCCTTACCATTTCCATGCCCAGCTACTAAGTTAAAACTTTATTAAACACTCAAACACAGAATTTCCAGTACCCTTGGAACCAGTGGTGGTGTTTTTGATCCCATATTCCAAGCACTGCATGCCAGCACAGCAAATGCTCACCATAGCAACTGCAAATATTGTTAGAATTTTTCTACTTATTATTATTTTTTTATAAAAAAAAAAATGATCATACCCCAAACAAAAAAGCCAGTCTGTTTGTTTACCACAGAGATGGAAAGAAAATAAGGCAAAAATTGCTAGTGGGTTACTGTAAGATTTAAAATGAACAGATTGATTCCAGAAGTTCAGATACTTCTGAATATATGCATCCAGTGGTTAAGATGCTACTCTGTGGACCGTTTGAATCTGACATAAATGTCTGATCACCTGTGTAGAGGAAGTTACCAAAAGATTTCTGACTAGCAACTGTTTTTCAGAAAGAGAATGCAGTAAGAAAAGGATAGCCTGTATCTACATTTGCACGTGTGTGTGTGTGTGTGTGTGTGTGTGTGTGTGTGTGTGTGTATTGTATACCTTCAAGTCATTTCTGACTTATGGTGACCTTAAAGTGAATCTATAATAGGGTTTTCTTGGCAAGATTTATTCAGAGGAAGTTTGCCATTGCCTTCCCCAGAGGTTGAGAGAGTGCAACTTGCCCAAGGTCAACATTCAAACCACTATGCCACTCTGGCTTTCATATTCTTTCTGGCTCTCTCATATATACATATGTGTGTGTGTGTGTGCGCACACACAAACACACACATTTCCAGGGGGTACCATATTGGCTAGGCAGTATGGGTTTAACACTTTAATAATTTGGGCTCTGTTTAGCAGCACAAATGTGCTTGAGCATAACATGACATCCTATGATGCAGAGGCTTATGGTTGTATTGTTGTGTGCCCATAAGTCAACTCCAATTTATGGACATTCTAGTCTAGGGTTTTCTTGGCAAGAGGTGGTTTGCTATTGTCTTCCTCTGTGGTTGAGAAAGTGTGACTTCCATCAGCACACCCAGTGAATTTCCATGGCTAAACAGGGATGTGAACCCTGGATCATCCTGACTTTGTTATTCCGTGTTGCCTAATTACAATAGCTTAACAGCATAACTACTCACCCAACTCACAGTACAAAGTATTTTGTTATAGCTGCAGTTATCATTTGGACATTTTCTCAGCCATTTTGCCTGTAATTAGAGTCATCCAGTAAATCAGGTCTAATTGCAGAGATAATGCAGAATTCAAAGATATAGCTGTGCTAGTCTGTAGAATCACTGTGTAGAGAGATCTTGTAGCACCTTGAGACTAAGGGGCTGTACAGACAGTCCCTATGGGGCAGTGTCCCACTGCTCCTTTCCTTGCCGAATTGGGGCAATGGCAACCGCATCCCACAGCCCCGATCTGGCACTTTGCTGCTCTAAAAACAGTGGCAAAAGACCACCCTTGCTGCGGCGGCTTTTCCATGCTCCTTTGGCGCAGCATATATGAACACTATGCCAAGGGAGCGCCCTGATGCTGCCCACTATGCAGTGGGGCGCACGCCCCGACTCAACCCCCAGGCCAGCCCTTTTGGCTGGTCTGTATTCCCCCTTTACTGAAAGAAAGAAGTTGGCAGCATGAGCTTTTGTATATAATGCAGTAAATAATTCATAATTATTCGTAAATAATGCATTTTGACAATGCTTTAACTGTCGTGGCTCCATCATATGGAATCTTGGGATTTGTAGACTGTTGTGGCACCTTAGCTCTCTGACAGAGAAAGCTAAATATTCTCACAAAATTATAAATCCCAGAATTCCACTTCTCTGAGCCATGGCAGTTAAAGTGTGGTGTCAAACTGCTTTATTTCTGCAATGCTGATTTAGACTTCAGAAGCTTCACTGATTTTTCATATGAGTGCAATTTGGCCAACTGAACAGTGTATCCGACAGCCCTCTCTTCCTAGATCTATCATGTATGTAAAAGGATCTTCTATGTATTTTTATTTGCTTATATTGATATCATTGTAAATGTTATCTACCCTGGTGTATATAAATTCCTATGTATTCGTCTTTATTGTTGTTAATATTGTGAACATTTTGTATTGATGTTTGCTTATATCTGATTATTTTTCAGTACATTACTTGGGTTTGCTTTTTTTAAGGGGACTAGTGTTTAATCCCAATTTTTGTTCCTCTCCCTTTTTTAGAAATGCCTTCCCCCCACTTTCTGGTTGCAAAGCATCCAAAGTCAGACTATTTATTTTGGCACACAGGACAAAAAAAGGCTACAAGCTCCTTTCTGCATCCCTTCTTGGCTGTCTTTTAAAAATGATACTAACAAATTAAATCACTAATGGTTTGCTGCCATGTCATGACACCAAAAATCTGTTGCCCCAGGTGACTGACTCGCTTTGTCAAATGCCAGGGCCAGCCCTGTAAAGCGAGGCAAGGCAATGTTGTTAACGTATGGAATATCTTGATCTTTTACAACCCAAAAGTTGTTGTGTCTTTATTCTTACAAGTGAGGGCAAGTTCTTGCCACACCTTGATTATAGTCAGAGATGCCGCCAACGTTTGGAATTACCTGGTGGGGAATGGGTACAGCTTGTAATGTTGAGACGTATTATAAACCAAGCAGCATTGCCTCTGAAATGTTTCTCTGGCTCAAACACAATGGATGAAATTTTGTGTGTGCAACAGACAGCATTCAAGAGTTTGTGTGCCCAAAGCCAGATGCTTTGTAGATATGCGCAGAGATTCTCTAATATCAAAATGACTTAGGGTGCATCTACACTATAGAAATAATGCAGTTTGACTCCACTTTAAGTGCTGTAGTGCCATCCTATGAAATCCTTGTGTTGGTAGTTTTACAAGGTCCTTAGCCTTGTCTTCCAAAGAGTGCTGGTACCTCACAAAACTATAAATCCCAGGATTTTATAGGACAGAGCCATGGCAATTAAAGTGGTGACAAGTGGCATCATTTCTACAATGTAGATGCACTCCTATTCTTACTGCTGACATGACTATACCACATCATTTGTTCCAGGGTAGAGCTGAAAAGAATATTTTAAAATATTTTTTTCTTTAAAGCTTAAAAAGTATTTTTTTAAGGTGTGAGGAAACTCTGATGAGCATAGAACCTCCACAGTTTGGGATTTACTCTGCACATGTGTGTGTGTGTGTGTGTGTATACAAAACCCAGCATTTTTTATGTAAGAAACAGCATTTTCTGTGCAGAAAATAAAATGCATATACACACATATAAACCACATGTGAACCAATTACACTATTTTCCATGTAGGAAATAATACTCCAGTGCAGAAATACTATTTTCTGCATAGAAAAAGCTGTTTTCTGCTTGAAAGTGCTGGGATCTTTGCAAAAAATACTGCATGCAAATTTTGTACAGCAATAAGTCCTGAATGATGAAATGTCTTCAAGAACTGCACGTTTTTAGAAGGCTTTCTCCCAGTAGGAAGAAAATAGCTGAAATTACTTGTTGCTTCCTTTGATGATGAGAGAAGGGAAGAATTTAATTCCTCTTCAGGGTTGGGGAACTTTTGACCTTCCAGATATTTTGGCCTACAACTGTTATCATCTCCATCTACTATGGCCCTCCAAAACAACTGTATCCCACAACCAATTCTATTTAATTCATTTTATGTGTGGAGCATTTCTTTCATTTGTCTATGGCCTTATACATCTGGAGAGAAATAATGGAAATGGACAATCTTTATTTTGTGACACTTACTGGAAAAGCTCAAGTAAATTTGAAGCTTATATTAAGGCACACCAAATAATTCTTTACCCCATTCCATCTACTTTATGGGGTGGAACACTTGTTTGACTGTTTCTAGTACCTAAAGAAAGTATTGACCCAGATGCAGTTCTATGCCATCTTAGAAAAGCTATTCTCCCCAAAATGTTGATCTATAATTTGAAATTCCCTTGATCCAAAATTTCTCTGAGGGTGCAAAGCGACCACACATTTCCAGTTCCTTACAAATTCCATATCTGAAATTGTTGTCTCAGATTATCATACCTCAAAGAGCCTTCTGATGAAACAGTAGCTTTAAATGGAGATAATGATTGCAGATCTAGAAGGAGAACTTTCCCAAGTCATGAAAATATAGGAAGACAAGGAGTATTTCTTGTTGTTAGGTGCCTTCAAGTCAACTCTGACTCATGGTGACTCTGGCATAGGGTTTTCTTGGCAAGACATATTTAGAAATTGGCCTTTACCTTCCTCTGAGGCTGAGAAAGTGTGGGTTGCTCAAGGTCACCCATGGCTGAGTGTGATTAAGTCTCTAGCTCTGGGAGTCCTAGGGCCAGTACGTGCAAGCCAAAAGGTCCATGCTCCCCCTGACACTGTGTCCTACTGTCCAGATGATGCAAGCCATTAGCCCCCAGCCAGAATCAGGCAGGAAGGATGTGGATCCAACTAATCCTAGCCCAAAGGGACCTTTTTGT